TGCTATCTTAGCTTTCTTTTCTTTGCCATTTGCATGAATTATCTTTTTCCATCCCTTCACTTTCAGTTTGTGAGTATCTTTAGGTCTGAGGTATGTCTTTTGTATGCAGCATGTATATGGGTCTTGTTTTTTTAATCCAATTGGTCACCCTATGCCTTTTGATGGGATCATTTAGTCCATTGACATTTAAAGTAGCTATTGGTAAATATGTACTTATCACCATTTTGCTAATTGTGTTCTGGATGTTTTAGTAGTTCTTCTCTGTTCCTTTCTTCTTCTTTTGCTCTCTTGCTATGTGATTTGATGGTTTCTTTAGTATTATGTTCAGGTTCCTTTCTGTTAATTATTTGTGTATTTATTATAGGTTTCTGTTTTGTGATTACCATGAGGTTCATATTTAATAATCTACTTTAGCAATCTATAGTGAGTTGATGGTCTCTTTAGTTTGACTTCTTTCTAAAAGCTCAATTCTGTTACCCTCTCTCTCACATTTTATGTTTTTGATATCTAACTTCTTTTTTGTGTTTGTGTATCCATTACCCTCTTATCATTGAAATAGTTAATTTTAGTACTTTTGTCTCTTGACCTCCATATTATCTTCATAGGTGGTTGATTTGCTACCTTTACTGTATTTTTGCCTTTACCAGTGATACCTTTTTTTGATAATTTTCTTATTCCTATTTGTAGTCTTCTCTTTCCACTTAAATCCCTTTAGTATTTCTTGTAAAACCGGTTTCTTGGTGATAAACTCCTTTAATTTTTGCTTGCCTGAGAAATTCTTTCTCTCTCCCTCCATTCTGAATGATAACCTTGCCAGGTAGAGTATTCTTGGCTGTAGGTTTTTTCCTTTCAGCAGTTTAAATATACCATGCTAATCCCTTCCAGCCTGTAAGGTTTCAGCTGAGAAGTTGGCTGATAGCCTTATGCTGTTTCCTCTGTATGTAACTTGTTGCCTTTCTCTTGTGGTTTTTAGGATTCTGTCTTTAGTTTTTGACATTTTAATTACAATGTGTCTTGGTGTGGGCCTCTTTGGGTTTATCTTGTTTGATGCTCTCTTTGCTTCCTGTACTTGGGTGTCTTTCCTTCCTTAGGTTTGAAAGTTTTCAGCCATTATTTCTTCAAATAGATTCTCTAGCCCTTTGTCTTTCTCTTCTTCTGGGACACCTATAATACGAATGTTAATGTACTTGATGTTGTGCCCGAGTTCCCTTAGACTTTTCTCATTTTTTAAAATCTTTTTTCTTCTATCTGTTCAGCTTGGGTGATTTTCTCTAGTCTTTCATACCACTTGCTGCTATGTTCTTCTGTATCGCCTACTCTGCTATTGACTCCCTCTAGTGAATTGTTCATTTCTAGTATTGTAGTCTTCATTTCTGATTGGTTCCTTTTTATATTTTCCAATTCTTTGTTGACATTCTCACTGTGTTCATCCATTCTTCTCCCAAAACCAGTGAGCATCCTTAGGACTTTTGGCTTGAACGCCTTATCAGGTAGATAGTTTATTTCTGTTTCATTTAGTTCTTTTTCTGGGGTTTTGTCTTGTTCCCTTGCTTGGATGTATTCCTTTGCCTCTTCACTTTGCCTCTTTCTCTGTACTTATATCTATGTATTATGTGGGTCAGCTATGTCTCTTGATCTGGGAGAACTGGCCTTATGTAGGAGACACTCTTTGAACCCCAGCAGTGTATCTCCCTCTCATGACCAGTTCCAAATGTTCCAGGAGTCACTCCTGTGTGGGCTATGATGTGTGTCTTTCTGTTGTGGCAGGGTTGCTCTTGCTGCAGATGCCCAGGGAATCTAGGCTGTCCCCCTGATCAGCTGGTTGTAGTGCTCAGCTGTGTGTGGCTGCTATAGACCCTTCAGCCACTTTATTGGGTTTGGGGAGCCCCAGCACAGTTGGATGCAAGGTCTAATAGCACATTCTTGTTGCACTTTTTCTGTTAAGTGAGTAAGCTCCTAGCATGGCTGGTTGTAAGGCTCAGGGGCTTACAATTGCTCTAAGCCTCAGGTCTACAAGGCAGTTGTCAGCTCTCTCAAGATTGCAGCTGAGTGAGGCTGCCCCTAGGCACAGGAGTACCCAATTGTTTCAGGCTTTGGAAGGTGGTGCCATCCCCTAAGTAGTCATTTGAGGAGCACAAGTCTTCTGCCACTGATAAGCCCCACAGCCCACAGGTCCACATGGACCATCAACACAGCCCTGGCCCATGCACATGTCCAGTCCCCTGGAGCATACCCAGTTGTCCCACTGCAGTGGCCCCACAATTTCCATTGATTCCTCACACTCTCCACCCACTCCTCACACAAACCCTACCACACAGAGGCAGGCCCACTCACCTCCCTGCAGAGGACCCAGGTACCCAGTCTATGCAGAACAGAAGTTGCCCCAGTGCTTGCTATTCGGTGAGGTCAGTCCCTGGGGCTGGCTGTCTGCCCTGGTTGAGCTGGGTTAAATTGTTGCTCTAGTGGGGAGGGCAGACCCCAAGCAAAACTAAGAGACCAGGGAAGTACTCCAATGGTGTCTGCCAGTGTCTGTGTCAGCACACCTGCACTAGGGCTGTGTTCTTGGAGAGGTCTCACCTCTCACCAAGATGCACCCAGAACCTACCAGGTGAGTCTCTTTTTACCAAAGGGCTGTGTACCTTCCTTTATGGTGATTTTATGTTGCTTTCTGAAATGTGTGAATTTGTGCATGGCTCCTTTAAGAGCTGGCTTTTTCCCACTTATGTCCAATAACTTTTCTAGGGGTATTCCTTGTTGTAGTTAATAGCCAGTAAAGCCAGATATTATGACACTCATCTCAGTTGTGCTGAGTCTGAAGGATGCTTATAGCAGCAACACTCTCCTGCGCAGGTCCCCTACTCCTCCAAGGAAGGCTGCATATCTTAGATTGACCCCAGCTGGCCAGCCATGAAACTCTATGGCTTGTGACGTTGTCATTTTTCTCTCCATAGAGAAACTTATGCTTCTTCTGCCTCAGTCAGGACTATTCCTTGTTGTGGGGATTCCTTTTCATGCAGTTTTCAGCTCTCTCTTAGGGTAATTGTTCCAAAAATAGTTTTAACCTGGTTGTGTTCATGAGAAGAGGCGAGTTCAGAGTCCGCCTATGCCACCATCTTGACACCCTCTCTCTCCTTCATTTTTGAAGGATAGTTTTGCTGTGTATAGATTCTTGGTGTTTTGTGTTTTTTTTCTTTCATAACATTGAGTACATCATCCCATTTTCTTCTTTCCTGCAAGATTTCTGCTTAAAAATCTGCTGACAGTCTTGTGGGAGTTCTCTTGTATGTGATAAGTTGCTTTCTCGTGCTGCTTTCTCTCACTGTCATTGACTTTTGATAATTTGATTACAGTGTGTCTCAGTGTGGATTTCTTTGATTTTTTAACTATCTGAGGCTCTTTATACTTTCTGGGTCTGTATGTCTACCTCCTCCCTGCTTTGGGAAGTTTTCTGCCATTGTTACTTTGAATAAGCTTTCTCTTTCTTGCTTCCCCTTCTAAGACTTCTATAAGGCATATATCGGTCCACTTGATGGTGTTCTGTAAGTTCCCTAAGCTTTCTATCCTTTTTCCTTCTTTTTCTTTTTGCTCCTCTAATTGAATAATATACAGTGACCTGAATTTTGGTTGAATGACCCTCTCTTCTGCTTGATATAGTCTGCTGTTGAACACTCCAATGACTTTTTCAGTTCAGTTATTGTATTCTTCAGCTCTATGATTTCCGTTAGCTATTTTTGCATTGTCTATCTTTTTGTTGAAATTCCTACTTTGTTTACTTATTGTTTTCCTGAACTCAGTGATCTTTATGACTGTTATTTTGAATTATCTTTCAGGTAAATCATATATCTCCTGTATCTTCATTTTTCTTTATTCTCCATGTTGCTGTCTGCACATTAGACAAAATAGCCATCTCTCTTAGTCTTCACTGACTTATCTTGTCCAGCAGGAAATCTTCACCAATCAGCCCAGCCAAAGATTCTGTAGTTCTCTCAAACCTGCATGTTAGTCCAGCCTCCTTTTTCTGTTTTAGCAGCCACCAGCTAGCTAGAGTATGTTGAGTCCTGTCAGTGTTCCAAGCAAGCAAGACAGAAGCCAGTTCCTCATGCATCCCAAAACAGTTTTGAATGCCAGATGTGCATTACAACTCCTTTGCTCCTCAGGGAGAGGCTGGGAGCTACAGGGTTCCTGACCAATTATACAGGATTTTGCTAGGGTTGGTATTTATGGTAAGAGTAAGTATCTGCATTTATTTGTGGCTTTCATGTGGCTGGATTCACATTCACTCAGGGTACAGCAATTTTTCAACTAGTTTCTGGACTTTTTACAAAGGGAATTGATTCATGCGTGTTGTGAATCAGTGTATCCACTGGGAGAAGGAGAGTCTAGAGCTTTATACTATGCTATGTTGCTTATGTTACCCCTTATTGTGTAAGTTTTTACAGATTGAGTACTTAAAGAATTGGCCCATTTCATCTAAGTTATCAAATTTGTGGACAAAGACTTGTTTATAATATTCTTTTTTATGCTTTTAATATACATAGTATGAAAGTGATGAACCCTCTTTTAATTCTGACATTAGTAATTTGTGTCTTCTCTCTTTTGGGAGGGGTAGCCTAAGTATGGTTTTATCAATTCCTTTGAACTTTTCACAAAAAACTGCTTTGGCTTCATTGATTTTTTTCTATTGATTTCCTGTTTACAAGTTCATTGATTTCAGCTCTGATTTTTATATGTAATTTTCTGTTGTTTACTTTGGATTTAGTTCCTCTCTATTGCTGATCTCAATATTTCCCTAAAGGATGATGGTGCTCCTGAACACAATTTCTCTCATTTTAAAATCCAAACTCAAGCAACTCTAGGTGATGTGCAGCCAGTAGACCATTTCTGCTCTTACTTTGTCCTTCTCTGTGCTTATCATCATCAGGACCACCATGACCTCTTAAGATTATTTTCTTTCATTTCTTACTGTATTTGCACATAGGAAGGAAAGTCTGAAAACTGAATCATCAAATTATATATTTTATTTAGAAAATGCAGAGGAGAAATGGCTTTGCATTGGTATACACTAATCATCTTGCTTTATTTCATATTGATGACATAGCACTACTCAATATTAGATAGGTATTAGCATATATGATGGCCAAAACAAACGTTGCAGAGTATAGAGAATAGCAGATAGAGTATGGAGTATATGCAGTGAAACTCAGGAAATTCTCCTTTAATGGAGATTGGATATTCCTGGATCTTGGGAGAATAGGATGATGAGGAGAGAAGAGGTCAGCGAAGGTATTCCCAGGAAGAAGGTGACGAAGAAAGGAGGTGGACCATGTCCCAAATGAGAGGGAGTTGCAGACATCATCATAGGAAAAGTCAGGTGTTCAGACAGTCTCACACAGGAATGAAGTAAAGCTGATAAGAAGGTGGCACAGAAGCAAATCCATTTGCAACAGGTGTGGTGTCAATGTCCTTTGGATCAACCACAGATTTCAAGTTAAATTTTTGTAAAATGGTGGTCAGGAATAAAAACAGCTCCATGCGGGCCAGGCCCTCTCCTGCACACACCCGTTTTCCTGAAAATAAACATAGAGTAGATACTCCTTGAACACTGTGTTCTGGCTATCATAAAGAGCATATGCAGTAACTATTTGATAAATGGTTGAATGGATGTATGGAAGGCAGGATGGCTGGATAAACAGATGGACAAATAATGGGCACACATGCTATACAACTAATATTTTATTTTAACAGATATCCTTTTTTCAACAAGTATTTATTGAGCATCAGTACTATTCCAACCATTTCATTAAGTATTCTTACATTATAACTGCTCTTTTGATATTTCAAGTTGCCATCAAGCTTTCCCAGAAACACGCACACATTGGTTGCACTTTCTGTTCCTAGTCATACGTTCCATGATCTTTCTTTCCATTCTTCACATCCTCTGTTCCCTGCTTTAACTATACCTACTCTTCATTAATCTCCAACACACAATGAAGTTTCAATTTTTATGTCACACTCCTAATTTTGGCTAAGCTACACTTCTCATATTTTTTCAGTACCTAGCTCAAATTTCTTTTCTGAATTTGGAAGAACTGGGTCAACTCTTCAAAGCTCCCATGATGTGGCCCAATAATGAGGATATATCATGAAGAGGGAAAGTGCATAAGCATTGAGATTAGTACTCCTAACTGTGAACAAAGTGCAATTCCACCAACCCCAGGGTGGGTACTATGTAAGTTACAACTGATCACATAAAGCTATCCTGTCTTTTGAAGTACCAAAGGAAATAAAGTTTCATTACCTGCTGAGAAAGCCATGAAGTAGTCGCTCTTCTTAAAGTTGCCACTCTCATCCAGGAAGTGACCAGGGTCAAATACTTCTGGATTGGGGAATTCTCTGTCATCGTGCAGCACAGAAGTCAGTGATATTAATATGGTTGTGCCCTGGAAAGAACAGATAAAGATAAATAGAGTTATCAAAAAGTCACGGAGCTGGAATATATGTAAATAATTTAGTGCAATCTTATGATCTATAGAAGAGGAATCCTAAGTCTAAAGAAACATAGTGGCATTTTGAGCCAGACAGAACAAGGAGTAAACAAGGATAAGTTTAAGTTTAATGGCAGTGATGTTGCTAAAGTGAACTCCAATAGCATTTGAAATACTGAGTATATGGATCCTATGGTACCAGACCTTCTGAATCCATTCTGTTTATCACCACGTGTGGACACTAGTGTATGTCCCATCAGCTCTTTATTTTATCTTTTCATTTTTCACTACTCTCATATGTGGATTATGGTTTAAAGTGGAAGTGTCTGTTGGAGCTTGAAACACCTGGAGTTATCTGTTCATAGGGCTTTTGTAAACAGACATCTGATCTAATTAAAAATAATCTCTTCTGAGGTAATAACAATAAGTACAGTAACAACTATTAGTGCATATCATTGCCAAGCAGCTTGTTTGTCTTAATTTAAAAATATGAAGTAGACTCCATTACAGATTAATCCTAGCTTAGAAACACAGAAACGATGATAAAATTAGAACAATCATTTTGTAATAGTTCAGCTTAGGATCATCAATTGAGGCAAGTTTTATCAATTAATGTTAAAACTGTTGGGTGAATGAATGGAAAGCATGATATTCAATAATCCTAAATTAGTATGCCATAGATTTTGATTAATTAAATGCAAAAACAGAACTTCTGCCTTGGAGAGATCTGCCAGATACCACTTTATTGTGTGAGAAACATAGCACAACCAATAATGGGATAAGTGACATTATGTGACCCCCGCCTCACCAATGACCTTCAGTGGGACATACAAAGCACACTTGTGTAGTTCTCCTGCCAAAATCAAAATGTAAAAAAATATCACACAAAACCAGCCTGAGGAATATTTTACATGACTCATGGCCTTGGCTCTTCACAAAGTTAAATATACTGAAAGAAAACCTAGCAAGGGGAACTGATAATAGGAGACAAAAAGAAAAGAAAACCAAATTATGTGCTTGTTCCTTGGCTGGATACTGAATTGCAAAGAAAGAGAAAGCTATAAAGGATATTCTAGGAAAGTTGATAAAATTTAAATAAAAGCTGTACATTAGATAATATTATTGTATCAATGATAACTCTTGAGTGTGAATGCTATTATTAATCTGTATACAAAAATTATTCCTATTGAAATATACTGACTGAAGTATTAAGGTGTTGACAGATAAATAGATACATGGATATAAAAGTAGACACGTATACAAATTTATATACTACATATATATGCACATGTTTTAATGTTTTTAGATTAAAAAAATTTTAATGACATGTTGGGGTGAAATTACACCCATTAAATTTATCATATAGAAGGTCTAAAACTTTATTTTTAAAATTATTTGGTTGTATATTTTTTAACAATATAGGAATTTCTTTCCTTAAGATATAAAAGCAAAAAAGAAAGATACAAAAGCCAATATATTTTTATTAAATCACTTGAACAATTGGATATTCACAAAGAAATAAAAGGAGGCATGACCATTACTCTGCACCATAAGTAAAATTTACCTGAATGGATCAATGATCTAAATATAAGTGCTAAAACTGTAAAGCTTTAGAAAAAAATAAGAGTAAATCTTTGGGATCCTGTGCAGGCAAATATTCTTTAGATAAGGCAAAAAAAAGTGCGAATAAACCTGACATCATTGCAAAGTGTTCTATTAGACTGATTGTTTTATAACAGACATCAACAAAAAATAACCCCTGTGGAAATCCAGCCTACTACCTGTTTTTATACAGTGCACGAGCTAAACATTTTAAATTGAAAAGATCAAGGAAGAATAAAATTTTGTGACACTAAAATTACGTGAAATTTAAATTTCAGTTTCAATAAATATTGAGATATAGCCTTTCTCATTTGTTTACATATGCTCTATGACTGCTTCCATGCTACAATGGCAGATTTTAATGCTGCATCAGACACTTCAAGGCCCATGAGGTCTAAAATATTTACACTCTGGCTCTTTATATAAAAGGTTTATCAAAACTTGTTTTAGACCATTATTTCCACCTAGCTCAATGGTCCCAGCCTACGATAGAAGAAATCACTTATCTGATTCATAAGAAGGTAGAATCAGCCACGCAATGTTGCATATTTTTCTACTGGGATGCCCTATACAGGATGGAATGCTCATTTCCAAATCTGATGTAATGGATAGAAAAGATAGGCAATCTCATTCTCATATCTACTCCATTATTTCCCTTTTACTTAGAAATACAAGGAAAAATAAGTTTGATTAAGTATTTCCCTTAGACCCCAATATTAAAAAAGAAAAGTCTTCTCCTCATTGTGTTCTTTGTTGAAAAAAATGAGTGGGCTTGAAATCCTAACCCTTGTACCAAATCTATAATCATTGAGGTAAGTTTCAACACCTCTTGGTAAAGTCATCAATTCTGTCTTCTCCAAAGATTGGCATTAGTATTTGCAGCCTTAGCAAAGCCATTGCTTTCTTTCTTCAACAAAAACAAATTTTGTAATATTATTTTTTAAACATAATAGTAATATGTCCTGGTTTCAAGTGAACTGGAGTAGCTTGTAGTATATCAACTAAAAAGTCTGAATATATACAGAAATTGTAAATCTGCTGAGACAAAAATTTGTCTCAAGATTCCATAGTTGGGAGAATCTCAGAGAGGTAAGCTGATACCTACAGTTGATTTTAAGTCTGTGTCAATGTCCAAATTTTAATCAAAACAAGAATGTTCCATCATTCTGACTGCCTAGTAGGAGAGGGATAAACCCTTTCTGGAAGAAGATAAAAACATCATCTGAAACTGCATTTTTTCATACATAATAATTAGCACCTAACTAAAAGTTATTAAGCATTTTAAGAACACAACTAAGTGGCCAGCAGAAGAGGATGAGACAATAAAAATAAATCCATGTTAGAGAACATTTCTCACCTACTTTATAAGGCCAGCATTACCTTGACACCAGAAATGTGACAAGAAAATTATGATGAAGGAAAACTGCAGGCCAAAAATCTCTTATGAATATAAATGCAGAAGTTCCGAACAAAATATAGCAAATTAAATCCAGCTGTGTGTGTATACTGATAATATGACTATTTAGTGGGAAAAATGAGGCCAATGCATACAATCATACTAATAGATGCAGAGAGTCAACATGAAAAAATTATATACACATTCATGACCAAAAAATCATAAAAGATAAGAGGGTAAACTTCCTAATCTGAATAAGAATATCTACCAAAGTGTACATAAAACATCGTTATCAATAGCAAGACGTTAAACCTCCGATCTCCTACAGATCAGAAGTGAAACAAGGATGAAACAGGAATATTAACTCAGGTAACAGAATGATGTATATAGAAATTGCAAATTAGTCTAGAGACAAATTATTAGCAATGATTTTAAATTTAGCAAGTTTGCTACATACAAGGTCAACAAAATAATAAAATGGATTATATTTCCATATATCAAAGAATTGGAAAAGCCACTTTAAAAATTTACAACAATAATATTAAGTATCTAGGAAAAACCAAAGATTTGAAAACAAATGCATTGAAAAAATTATTGAGAAAATTAAAGAAAGCCCTCCAAAATTGGGAGCATATAACATGCCCATTAATTAAAAGATTCAATGTGTCATGACGTTAAGTTTTTCCAAATTGACCAAATGTCACCTTGATAAAAATTTCAGCAGAGTGTTTTGGTAAATTAACAAACTCTTACTAACATTCATTTGGAAACGTAGACAGCTAAGATTAGCCAAACAAAGTTAAAGAAGAACACATTTGGAAGACTTAACACTGCCAGCTCTCAAAACCCACTATATAGCATATAGTCTAGACGTGAAGCAAATCAAAATCCATAATGCTGCCACACAGTTGACTTTTGTACTTCTCTCATCTCGTATTCATAGAGGACTGGACCCATACTGTGAAAATTGGAACTTCAAGACCACTAGGGTCAGTATAAGAGAAACAAATGTTACCTTAGGGATAAAGTAGTTTCTGAATTTAACGTCACGAGTCACTGCATGGGGCACATTGGTAGGGAGGAGGTCAATGTATCTCTGGATCTCATGCACCACAGCATCTGTATAGGGCATGTGGCTCTTGTCCTGCATGCACGGGCTCCGGTGTCTGCCAATCACACGATCAATCTCTTCCTGGACTTTAGCTGATAAAACACAAAGAAGACTGATGGAAAAAGAGAAAAATGCATACCACATTTTCATGTCAATTCAAGGATACATGAAGCATTAGGAAAGTGTCCCAAAATCATTATAAACATCAGTTATACACCCAGGAATACACCTAGACATAGAGAGATAATTGCTATAATATAGATAGATAGAACTCTCCCACAAGCTAGGTTTAAGATCCATCTATAAATACCTATATATCAGCATACATGATAATACAAACAGAAAAGATGAAATGTTTCAAAATATAAATGAAACATAATTGTCAAGAAATTACAGTCCTTGCATAAAGAAAAACAAAAGCAAAATATTAATTTATACCAAAATAATATATGCATTGAAAAGTTAAATTATAATCTATGTACCTTTGTGTATGTGTGTGTGTATAACTTGCAGTGGTGCTCTCTTTCTCCAAGTTGCCAAATGCTACCACTTTGAACATCCTAGCACTTTCTTAAATTTATGTTCTATTTCTAAATAATGACTCTCGGTTTCTATTTCTTACTTACCTCTTTTTAGACAATATTTGACTTCCTGGTATGAGAGGTGAGAATTTACATCTCCATCCCTGCCTCATACAAAATACACCCACACACACACACACAAGTCCCCTTGTTCTACTTCCCCTATATATTTAGACCTCAATTTTTGACTGTTAGAATATTTATTTTGGTATCATTCTGACTATATAAACAATGTTCCCTGGTAAAACAACTATGATTATGTTTCATTTTGGGTACTTTCTTGGACTTAACCATGTTTCTAGTTCAATTGTTAATTGTCTATATCTCAATTTAGAATTATTCCCAAATACTGAGGTAGGTGTTTCCAACTCTTAATAATGACTTCTCTATTGTTAGGACATTTCAGATAATTCACTGCTTCTCTTTTGTTCTTGGTGTCTCCCCTCACACCTACTTTATCCACCAAATCCATTTTGAAATGGGTATTTTCTAGGCCTGGTGTCTACCAACCTCCCTGACAATTTGATTCTCCTTGATGAGTTCTCCTGATTCCTTGAGCCCATGACATCTTCTGACTTGACTTCAGACATTTGGATGAGAAAGGGGAAAGAGGGTGTAAAAATTTTGTCAAACATATAGGTCTGAAAATACCCTCTGTTTATTAATACACAATTTGATAGTTGCTCTCAAGAATTCTGATACTCTTCTGAATCCTCTCCTTACTTATCACCTGAAAAATCTCTCTGAAAGTTTTGGTGATTTTATTAGTGGTGTTCTGAAATTTTATGACCCTGTGTCTTGGGTGGATGTTTTCATTTCCTTCACTCTGCTATTGTCAAGAGAATTTTCTACCTGAGTCGCAAAACATGGAGGGTTTTTTCTCCAGAACTGTTCACAATTAATCTGGCTTCTAAATTTCAGAAAGCAGGATGGAAAAAGGAGCTAAGACTCTCAGAGCTCAAGAAATAGATTCTTACTTAACCTTTCTCTTCAGCCCTACAACTCACCCTTTCCCTGTCACTGCCCAGTGTCCCTGAGTGTAGGGCCTCTTAGGTTCATTTTCTCTGGAGAGTAATCCTTCCTCATCCTGTTGGGGAAAAACAGTTACCTGATAAAAGGGCATGTTGAAGGGTCCCAGGCAGGGGACCCTTCTCCTTCTATCTTCTTTGACACTTGGTACTTCCAAATACCAAACCTTATAGGGATGTAAGGACACAAATGACTTGTCCTCACTATATAGCTTCCTCTTCTGACATTCATGTTACAATTTCATCCTCTCTACTGAGTTCATTTTCACCCCTCAATATGCTCTCTCTGTTTCAGAAATTTGTTGAGGATTTATCGGCTGTTTCTTGACCTCTTTCTGTGCAACTTTAAAAGGCTAAATCTCATTTGTAACAGGTTATAGTCTTTTCATTGGGACCCTGACACAGGACAAGATGATGTATGTTTCTAAATTGCTGTTCATAACCGTAACTCTTGAAAGATAAATTTCTAACACAAAATTTTTGGTAAAAGATAAAATCATTGACCCTGTAAAATTCTTAGCTTGGCAAACACCACTTTTCTGGGAGCAGTCTTCCGGAATAACAAAATTCCTTTATGCACATCTTAAGACTGAATAGCAACACATTTCTTGTGAATCTAAGTTTGTAGAACACTTCCTAGAGTATGGAAATTATCTCAGGAAGTCTCACGAAATCTCTAGGATTTCCACTTATGCGTCAATAGGCACTTTCCATTTCTCTATCCTGGCTTTAGAAACTGCATTTTCCGAATGAGAAGCTCTCTGCAAGAAAGTACCTACTGTTCAAAGAGGCCTTTTATAATAAAACCAATATGCAGTCCCAGGCCAATACATGCTATCTGTGCCTGCCACAAATAACCTCCCATGAAATCCAGACACTTCTTTATTGATTTTGCTACTGCCCACATTGTTCTTACTCCTCTCAGTCATTCTCCTGTATTATATGAAGATGTCCCATTATTTTATGTTCTCTAAATTTGTAAAAATTAAGCTGGTTGAATAGATATTTAAATAATGAAGGCTTGCTAGGGAGAACAAGATAGAATATACTTGCAGAGCCTTTCCAACATCTTTTCTGAAATTCACCCTGCTCATTGTGTTGGTCATACCTATGACCTCTGGGTGCTTCAGCAGGAGGAGAAGTCCATATCTCAGGGTGGTGCTCGTTGTCTCTGTCCCAGCTCCAAACAAATCAGATACAGTGATTTTTAAGTTTTCAAAAGTAAACTCCGACTGTTGATTTTGCTTTTCCTACGAATGATTTGATAAAATTATTGGGCAAATTAATTTGCCAGAATTACACTTAATCCAAATAACTCACATTGTTATAAAATTAAGCCAACATATAAGCTGCAGCGTGCAACATTAGAATAAACTATTGTATGGTATGGCAAGAGACTGTAGATCAGATGACTTAAGCATCATTTTATACTGGTTTATCCCTCACTTGCTTAAAGTGAGCCTCTTTTATAGATTGGTTAGCTATGCAGCATAGTTTTTGCCAGTGAAATGTAAGGAGAAGGCTGTGGTGCCACTTCCTCTATTTTTCCTTCTTATTCAAAACAAAAATGTGAAGGAGGTAGAAGAGACATCATCTTGGGACAAGAGGGTTGAATCATGAAGTTAGCTTGTATACTCTGTATAGGTGAAGAAAAATGGAAGGTCTGATGTTTCAGGGCTCCTGGTGTTTCAAAGTTACTGTACTGCACTACACTGACATATCACAAGATTCTTAGTATGTGAAGTAAATAAACCCACTATTTGTTAAAGCCATTGTTAATAGTTTTTCTCTTATTTGTAGACAAACACAATCTTAATGAGTCAAAACAGGTAGATAGGGTTATATCATGAAAGATGTTATAAGGCTGAATCAAGATTTTATAATGCTCTTCTTTGTTAAAAATTTATATGAAATCAACATTGTCTGTAGACTATGAAGGTGAAATTGTGCAAAAGCTAATATTGCAGCTTAACCTGAAACAAATCATAGTCAAAGAGAATGGATTCACAAAGACAATATAGAGTCATCACTATAGTATTCCATATGCAACGAAATAGGAGCTTAGTCTAGCAAACAAATACAGGAATGAAAAGGAATATACAAATTGAAGAGACACTACAAACATGAATACAGAGTTTCCATAGGGGAAAAAAGAGATAGTAGGGATAATGCAAATTTCAAGGCTGACACACTAGTTGAATACAGCTCACATAAATTGGAAGTTGGGAGAGAGACAGCAACTGATAAAGTAACACTGGTTTACAATTGAGGAGACGACGTGACACAGAATAGAAAACAACAACTGGGCAGTTTTAAATACTGAATAGAAGGATCATTAACATACAAAAAGTACGTTTTTTGCAAACATGTCCCTAGGCTGCATTAATTTCTATGATGCATTTATAATCTCCAGGGGTCGAGGGGCATGTCTAATATTATGTAATAAACACAATTAAGACAGACTAAACTCTCTGAATGTTTGCACTTGTTAGACAAAGACTTATCCCCTTTGGTAACATTGGCTTCACATAGTGTTTTAAGATTGTCAATTAAAAAGTATTCCAAGTACTAAATTCAGTAAGAAGAGCAGTGTACTCATAAAATAATATTAGTATTTCCATTTCTTGAAGTGTATTTGGAGACACAGTGGTTACATGCACATAGCCTATCATTATTAAGCTGTACAAAGCAACGTTGAAACAAATTATATAAAACAATATTGAAAGAAATTAAAGAAAACCCAAATAAACAAAAAGACTTTCCTTGTCATAGATCCAAATACTCAGTATTGTTATGATGGCATTCTGGGAGTACTGGCACAAAGATGACATAGAGGATGTTCCAGGAACCAGTCCCTCCACTGAAACAACTATTGGCCATGCAAAAACTTTCTTAGCAACTATTTTGGCACCCTAGAGACTAGTTATCCACTTGAAGCATCCAGTGGAGTACTTAAGTAAAAGTGTCTGGTAAATATGACATCTCACATAGTGGCTAACATTCCTCATAACCTAGTTCTAAGTCAGACAGTTCTGGAGAGTATGGACCATGTTCCTCATGCAACTTGCATGTTCCAGAGTGAGCAATAGGGACCACATTCTTCAACAATCAGTCTTGCATGTTTTGATCACAGAGAGGCTGGCACAGAGAATAGCCAGTGTTCCAGTCTCCTCACATTCAAGCAACGTCCACAACAGCTTTCACTCAGGAGATAAAGAAACAGAACAACTTCTTTTTCTTTTCTTTTCCTTTTAGATTAAGGTATTTAAGAGAATATCTGTAAGGTCACTACCTGACTATGGAGATAATAGAACAGAGAGTCAAGTGATCACACAGGAAAAGAAAAATAGTCTTGGCAAAAATAATTTGGAAAAGCTGCCAAACAAATGGATGAATGCAGTCTTCATCAAGTAACAGCAACTGCTGGGAGGCAGAAAAATCTTATTTCCAGAGTTACCACATTACAACATATTAAATGCTCTGTACTCAACAGCAACAAAAAAAATTAAAAGGGATACAAAGAAACAGGTAAGTATAGCCCATGAACAGCTAAAAAAAAAGTTGATATAGATGATTCCTGGAGAAACTCAGACATCAGACTTACTAGATAAAAACTTAAAGATAAATGTCTTAAATACCCTCAAAGAGCCAAAGGAAATCATGTACAAAGAACTAAAGAAAATCAGAAAAGTTTATGAGCAAGTAGGGAATATCAATAATGAGAAAGACGTTATAAAAAGGAATCAAATAGAAATTCTGGGGCTAAAACATACGATACCTGAAATTTTTTAAAAATCCCCAGAGGTTTTCAACAGTGGAATTGAGAAAGCCCAAAAAAGAAATAGAAAACCTGGAGACAAGAAAACAGAAATTACCCAGTTGAAATATCAGAAATAAAAGGGAAGGAAGAAAAATGAACAGAGCCTAAGGGACCTATGCAACTCCATCAAGTGTATCAACATCTACTTTATGGAAGTCTCAAAGAACAGAGGGAAAAGGAGCAAAAAAAGTATATTTGGAGAAAGACTGGTTGAAAACATCCAAAATTTAATGAAAGCCATGAATCTATATATGCAAGAAGCTGAATAAATTCCAAAGGATAAACACAAAAACACCCATGCAAAGGCTTATTTTAATCAAATTGTCAAAAGACAAAGACGAGAGAATGTTTAAAATTTCAAGAAAGAGGTGACTCATTATGTACAAAAGGATCCTCAGTAGAAGAAATTGATGATTTTTTAAGAAACTGTAGAGGACAGAAATCAGTGTATGTGTATATGTAAAGTCTTGAAAGAAAATAACCCAACCAGCAATTTTATATCTGAAACTATTATCCCTCCATAATAAAGGGGAAATTAAGACGTTATCCAAATAAACAAAAGATGAGGGGTTCCTAATTAACAGATCTGACTCACAGGAAATGCTAAAGAAAGTCAGCTTTCAGGTTGAAACCAACTGGACGATAACTCAAAGCCATATTAACAAATAAAGATCCTTGTCAAGGATAACTATGTAAGTAAACATAAAAGCTAATATTATTGTATTCTAGTTTGAAACCGTCTTTTTATTTTCCATGTTATTTAAAAGAAGAATGCATAAAATAATCATTATAAATATATTTTACTAGGCACACAACATATAAAGATGTAATTTTGGACAACAACAAAATAAAGGGAGGGTGAATTTGGATGGGAGCAGAGTTAACTTATGTAATTTGAAGCTCCTTTGGAATTAAACTAGACTGTTATAGATTTAGGATGCTAACAGTAATCTCCATTGTAAGTACTAGAAAATTAACTAAAACATATACAGAAAAAGAATTGAAGAGGGAACAAAAAAACATACACTTGAAAATATTGATCAAATAAAAAATAAGGCTATATTGGAGTAATTGAGAAACAAAAATGACAAAAGGCATCAGAACAAAAAATAACAATGGAATGAAATCCTTCAATATGACTAACCACCTTAACTGTTAATTGATTTAAATTCACTATTTAAAAAATAGATATTTAAAAAATAAAATTTTTAAAAGCTGTATATATAAAAATAATAGAACATTACTTACCCTTGAAAAAGAGACACATCCTGTCATTTGCAACAACATGGACTGAACATGAGGGCAATAGGCTAAGTGAAATAAATCAGATAAAAACAAATACCACATGGTCTTACTTATTTGTGGAATCTAAAACATACCAAAAAATAAATAACTGAACTCACAAATACCGAGAATACATTGGTTGCCAGAGGTGCGAGCTGGGGGAATGGACAAAATGGGTGAAAGTGGTCAAAAGGTACAAACTTATAGTCATAAAACAAGTAAGTCCTGGGGATGTAATGTACAAGATGATGACTATAGTTAGTAATACTGTATGTATATTTGAAAGTTGCTAAGAGATTAAACCTTAAATGTTCTTATCACAAGAAAAGAAATTTGTAATTATGGGTGATTATGGACATTAACAAAACTTACTGTGATCGTTTCACAATATGTACATATACATATATTGAATCAGTTGTACACCTGAAATGAATATAATGTTACATGTCAATTATATAGCAATAAAAAAAAACTGTTATGTTGTCTGCAAGAGACTCACTTTAGACCCAAAGACACAAATATGTTGAACAAGAAAGAGGGAAATTTATCTTTTAAGCAATGAATAGCCAAAGGGAGTTGGAATGCCTATACCAATAGAAGAAAGAATAGATTTTATTTAAAAACATTTTTTAAAAAACCATTGAGAACATTTTATACTGGATAAAAAAGTGAATTAATCAAGAATCTATAACATTATACACATTTATGTACCAAGCAAAAGAGGCCAAGATATATGAAGCAAACATTGAAAACACTGAAGGAATAAATAGAGAGCTCCACAATAACAGTGAGAGACTTCAGTACCTTACTTTCAATGATGGATCACACTTCTAGGCAAAAGATCAATGAGCAAATATAAGACTTGAAAAACACTAGAATCAGCAATACTAATGAGCATATAAAGAAAATGCTAATGAATAACAGAATATATATTCTTCTCCAGTGCACATAACAACTTTCTCCAAGATAGACCACATGTCTCACTAAACTGAAAAAGATGAAAAATGATACAAAGTATCTCCTCTGACCACAGTGGAATAAGGCTGGAAATCAATAATAGAATAAAAACGAGAAAATTCAAAGATACTTAAACATAAAACATACATCTGACAGTTCTGCATGTGTGGAGTTTGGAAGTTGCAACTC